TGGCATTTTTCCATTTGGCAAGAGCCAGGAGATCAGGCCTGCAGACTTCACCAACCAAGGCTGCCAAAGCTCTGTCTCTATTCCTGTCTATCCTAACTCTAAGTAGACATAACATATGCTCAGAGGCTGAGATCAATTCCTGCTTTTGAGCCAGCTAATCACACAGTCAAATGTGACAATGGCAGGTACATGGCCTGCTGGATGTTGTACAGAGATGTGGTCATAGCCATTGTCACCATCAAGAACAAATGCATATGCAGTTTGCAAATTGGTACCCAGCTAGAATTAATGTAGGACTGGGTGCCGAGACACCATTGTGCCTGTGAGCAAACAGCTGGCCTAGGCCTTGAGGAAGAATGCATTTTTACGTCAGGCTGAAGGATGCCTGGGCTCACCTAGATCACAAGTTCAACCTCTTGTATGCCAGAGGTCTTTATGCACTGGTATGTGAGAGACAGTATGGAGGAGGGGTGTTCTTTTGAGGCCTGGAGGACCTAGCAGCACTGGAGAAGGCTTAGGAAGATTGGCTGTGGATTTTGCAGAGTTAGAGGCTAAAGAAGGGAAGGAAAGAATACTGGATGGAGCTGTGTGGCTGGCAGACATCCCTTTATCTCCTCCCACCGTTAACACTAAATGATTCTTTTACTTATTAGTGTCTGTACTGAGGCATTGCTTTTACTGTGCACCGTACTTTAAAAACAAAAAACAAGAAAAACAAAAACAAAGTTCCCTGTCTAGATACCCATCTTTCTTGGAGGGAGGGTCAGTTAGCCAATTTGTGAATTCTTCTGAGAGAAATACACATGTTTTCTCTAAGACATTACTAAGCATGTCTGTATGCTCAGTTAAAAGCTTCTAACTAGATAAGGGAATTAGGGGAACATGTTATTGTCCCTCCTACCCCACATGAAGTGCACGGATGTGGCTTTTCACCGTCCCGTGAGAGGGCTGAGGACAGAGTGCAGCAGGGGCTCCATCCAAGGGCTGTAAAACCCAGTTCCTGCTATGCCACTTGTTCACTAGCTTTCCTCCATGGCTGGCAAATGTAAGCATCCTACTCTCTCTATGTCCCCAGAATGTTCTTGGGGCACACTCTACCCCCTTCCTGTTATGGGAGTAAATTTTGAGCACTGGTCTTGATTTTAAGAACTTGGATCTAAGATGGACCCTCCAAGATTGCCAGAAACCACAATAAAGTAGATGCTGGAAAGAGATGCTGCTGCCTGGCCCAGCTGGAAGAAATTCCAGTTTCTCCTGAGACAATGGCAAAATCCCAGCGGCTCATATCCTAGCATCCAACCTCTTGGTGGTGGGAAGGCTAAAAGGCCTTTGTTTGCAGCGCCTCTGCCTATGCAGTTAATACCGTTACCCTAAGAATTCTTTTTATGTGTCGTTACATTTTATTTTGTGCATATGTATGGGGATCAGAGGACAATTACTGGACGTTGGTTCTCTCCTTCCACCAGGTGGTCCCAGGGATCAAACTCAATCTTCAGGGTTGGTAGCAAGTGCTGAGCCATCACACCAGCTCGTGGCTAGGTTCTTTCAACGAAGAGCCCAGGTCTTTCTTGGTGGTGGATCTTTTTCAACAAGAGTGTACGCTTACGATGTTCAGAGAGCACTACAGACCACAAACAGCTGCTTCGTCCATACGGCGGGCGCTCACCAGTGACCTTGGACACACAAACAAAACAAGGAGACAAACTACTGGCCCAGAAACCTCAACTCAGCAGAGACAATCCCCACCCTCACTCCCAACATCCGGTGGCCCGCCCCGCCAGGATCTCTTCCGGTCCCGCCCCTTGGGGGCCGGCGCCACGGGCGAAGGAGTCTCTCGGCTACCAACTTCCGTATTGACCCACCCATCGCGAGATTTTGGCGGCGCAGCAATGGCAAGACCGTGAGTACCGCTGACGGGAGTCTATAGAACGAGTTAGGACAGGACTGGTACGGGGTCGAGCTGTGGGGAGCCGACAGGCTCAGGCCCTCTGGAGGAAGTGACAGCTGGGCGTGAAGACAGTCCTTCCCCGACTGCGGCCCACAACCCAGATCCCGCCCCTTCCCCAGATGCCGCGACACTGCTCCGCCGCCGGCTGCTGCACACGGGATACGCGCGAGACTCGGAACCGCGGCATCTCCTTCCACAGGTCAGCGCGCGTGCGTAGTGGCACGCGAGGGCTCACATGCGCAGGCGCTGGTGTTGCCGCACCTTAGGCCGCGCAGGAGACGGCGCTTTCCTGAGGGAGAAGTGAGGCTTGAACTTGTGAGCGGGGAGGGTGAAAGGGGAGGTCGCATAGTCGCGAGTCCACCTGAAAAAGGACTGGACGCTTACCTGGCTTCGATTTACAGCTGTGACTCATTCCTGCTAAATGATGCTGAGCAGGCTCCTTTCCTTCTCTCGTCCTCAGTTTCTCTTTCTCCCTAGCGGGTGGTAATCTGAAATGGTCGCGGGGAGGTCTGCCATTCTTGCCTGGGGAGCTTGGGCATCCCGAACGCAGGGCTGTAGGCAGTCTGGTGCTCACGGTTTTGTGGCTCTGCAGACTTCCCAAGAAAGACAACCCCAGGCGCGGCTTGTGGCTGGCCAACTGTCAGCGGCTGGACCCCAGCGGCCAGGGCCTGTGGGATCCGACCTCTGAGTACATCTACTTCTGCTCCAAACACTTCGAGGAAAACTGCTTTGAGCTGGTGGGAATCAGGTGGGTCTTTCTGCCAGCCAACACCAAGACAGGGTGTGAGGCAGCTCTTTGCCCTGGTGAAGCCCATGGGCATCTGGCTGGCATGCTCACAGACAGGCAGACCAGTTGTCAAGGTGCTGTTGCCTCTTTCCAATTCTGTATAGTTAAAGCATGGTCCCAGGATCACCGTACCAGTGACATCAGAGAAAAGCAGCCTTTCCAGGCTGGGGAAATAGCTCCCTTTGCTAAAGACTTGGTATGCAAGCATGGAGACCTGAGTTCAGATTCAAGCACCCAAATAAAAAGCTACGTGTAATTGCTTGTTCCTTTAATCCCAGTCCTGGAGAACAAAATAATCCCAGCTAGACTAGATGAATCGTTGAGCCTTGTGTTGAGTGAGAGACTTTTAAAAATAAGGTGGAAAGGCTGGAGAGACAGCTTAACCGTTTTAGAGCACCTGTAACTCTTATAGAGGACTGGGGTTCATTCGACCCCTGAGGGCACAGGTACATAGACGTACATGCAGGCAAGACATTCATACACATAAACAGGCTGGCTCAGAGGTTACGAGCCCTCACTGGCTGTCCTTCCAGAGGGCCTGGGTTCATTTTCCACCACCCACGTAGTGGCTTACAGCAGTCTGTTCAGTCTGTAACTGGAACTGGCTTATTCCAGTCCCAGGTAATCCATTATCCTTTTCTAATCCCTGTAGGAACTAGGCATGCATATGGTGAACAGTCATAGGCAAAACACCCATATACATAAAAATAAATGTTTTTAAAGAAAAAAATATATATATATATTTTATTTTTTTTTTTGGTTTTTTCAAGACAGGGTTTCTCTGTATATTCCTGGCTGTCCTGGAACTCACCCTGTAGACCAGGGCTGGCCTCGAACTCAGAAATCCACCTGCCTCTGCCTCCCAAGTGCTGGGATTAAAGGCATGCGCCACCACTGCCTGGCAGAAAAAAAATTTTTAAAACCAAAGGTGGAGAATGATTAAGGAAGGCACCTGAGGTTAGTCACTGGTTTCCACACAAAAGAAAAACAGCTTTTTCATAGGAAATTTAGCACGTGGTTCTTCCAGCTGGTTGACCTATCCCTGCTGGTGGGTTTTCTAATCAGCTCAACCCTGGAAGCTCATTCACAGGGAAGATGTTTGTTTTTACCACACTTGCCGTTCTTGAGATTTGTTCCTGGCAGTGTGCCTTGGAGCCTCTTGTCCCTAGTGCTGCAGGATCTGCGTTGGGAGTCCAGGGAAGTGGCAGCGTGTTCTCTCCAGCTCATCTAGGCTGCTTTTCCCCACAGTGGGTATCACAGGCTGAAGGAAGGGGCAGTCCCCACCATATTTGAGTCTTTCTCCAAGTTGCGTCGAACAGCCAAGACCAAGGGGCATGGTTATCCACCTGGCCTGCCTGATGTCAGCCGGCTCCGGCGATGCAGGAAGCGGTATGTGCTGCAGGACCTGGGATGCCCCACTGTCACCCCAGGGCTAAGGGACTGGACTGTAGGGTGAATGCCAGCATCTTCACTGAACTGGGTTCTTGCTATCTAGACCCAGTGAAGGGGGCTCAGATGTTAGGGAGTCTAAATGAGCTAATGAGGGGAGCCTGGCACGCCCTTGTTTCTTTCTGTCTCCCATCCAGCTGCTCTGAAAGACAAGGACCCACAACTCCATTTTCTCCACCTCCTTGTGCTGATATCATCTGCTTTCCTGTGGAAGAAGCCTCAGCACCCGCCACTCTGCCTGTATCCCCAGCTGTGAGGCTGGACCCTGGTCTTAGCAGCCCCTTCTCAGATCTCCTGGGCCCTCTAGGTGCTCAAGCAGATGAAGCAGGCTGTAGCGCACAGCCTTCACCAGAGCAGCACCCCTCCCCTCTTGAGCCACAGCCTGTCTCCCCATCTGCATACATGTTACGGCTGCCACCACCTGCTGGAGCCTACATCCAGAATGAGCACAGCTACCAAGTGGGGAGTGCCTTGCTCTGGAAGAGGAGAGCTGAAGCAGCTCTTGATGCTCTGGACAAGACCCAGCGCCAGCTGCAGGCCTGCAAGCGGCGGGAGCAGCGGCTTAGGCTGCGACTGACTAAGCTGCAGCAGGAACGGGCACGGGAGAAGCGAGCACAGGCAGATGCCCGCCAGACTCTGAAGGACCATGTACAGGACTTTGCTATGCAGCTCAGCAGCAGCATGGCCTGAGAGAGGGACCATATACCAAGGCTCTGGCCTCTTTTTCTCAGAGACACTTGACTGGAACTGCATCCACTAGGCTGGCCAGATGTCACAATAAAGTGGATGCTAGAAAGAGACTGTTGTTTGGCTCAGCTGGAGGTGCCCAGCTCCTCCTCAGACCATGGCCAAAGCCCTAGAGAGCTCAGATCCTGGCATGCCACCTCTTGGCCCTAGGGAAATCCTTGTTTGCAGCCCCTCTGCCTGTTTAGTTCCTCTCATGTAAGAAAGTCAGCTCCTCTGAGATTAACTCTGCCCCCTCCCCCTCTTTGAGTCAGGGTTTCATGTAGTCCAGTCTGGTGTGTTGTTTGTAGCTGTATAGGTATGTGCCATCATGCCCAGTGGCAGACTTGGAACGTATATAGAGGCCCACAGGTCTCATCTGTTTGGCCAATCCCTTACACTGACCACACTCCTGACCCCTTTGCCCTCAAAACCAGCATAGGACACCCTACACTTGTCAGGCTGTAAAGCCGTAACTAGAGAAACGTATTTTGGAATAGTGTTGAGGTCATGGCCTAGGTACTATATATCTTGAGAACCTAGGCTTCTCACTACAGCTGTGCTCATGGTAAACATCAGGTGCATGCCCTCTCCTTACTGAGCCACACAGCTGATAGCTACCCAAGGTTCTCCAAGTTTTCTTTTTTTTGGAATCCTGGGTGTCTGTGTTTGTTTGTATCCTGTGTAGAAGAGATGGTTGAAGGGCCAGATACAGCTGTCATCATGAAGTTCACATGTTCCTTCAAAATAGGTTTGGATGAGGCCACCTTTGGGAAATGGTTCTGACATAGCACAGCTGACTCATAGCAAGCCTGCCTGCCTGGCACCCTCCACTCAGCTTAGCTGCTGCTTGAGTCAGCTACAGGTCTCAGATTGTGCCTGGTACCACCCTCTATTCCCAGCACATCTTATAACTAGACCACTTCCTGTCTGTCAGTATGGGACTGCCACCCAGGGCATCTGTCTACCCAGAGACCCACAGCATGGGGTGAATGAAGCACAGAAGGGAAATGGGTTCTAAGGCCAGGAAGAGCCAAGCAGAAAATGAGTTCTGGTTTCCTAGGAAGTAAGAGTAGGTTCCTGTACTCAAAAAACAGGTCTACTGTACTGTACCGGGATATAGGCTTTCATGGCCTGCTGTCAGATAACAAGGATGAATGCCTTGGACAGCCTAGGGGGTACATAACACAGGTACACAGTTTTCTCTCGTGATTGACACCATATATTGACAAGGGCAGAACGGAATCTCCTAAGCTGTGGAACTGTCATTGAGTGCTACCGGAGGGCAGACCAGTGGTGGCAACTATGCCAGGCAAGCGTGTAAGCAGCATTGTCACAGCTGTAATAGTGGCATGCCTTTGAAGAGTACGGACATAGGAACATATCTGCTTTTTCTCTGGCCCAGATATCTACACAGGGTATGCCAGAACATGCAGCCTCTCTGGGAGGCTGAGCTATGCTTACTGCCTTATGGGCTGGGAGCAAAACCTTCCAAAGTTCATGTCTAAGATCTGACCACTGTTACTAATCCCCACTCCTAACTTGTGGGTAAGCAATAGTAACTTGCTAAGCCCTCATCCCTGGACAGGACGCTATGCTGGACCCATAACACCTACTGGTACCACAAAGCTATGCTCTATCCTTTCTGCTGCCAGGTGCTGTCCTTCCCCTGGTCTTGGGAGAAGTGCACCTGTCCCACTGGTACAAAGTCGAACAGTCCTCTGAGGAGAGAGTGAGGACGATTATAGTAAAGATGGAAAAGAAGACTCAGAGACAAAGGCTAGAAATCAGGAGGGCTGTCCAGTCAGTACTGCAGCAGCTCTGAGTTTATTAATTCTCTTAGGCTTTATAACTTTACAGTATCTTGGGAAACAAAGTCACAAGCCAGCAGAGACAATGGCTGATGCACATTGGATATCTGTACCTATCCGGAGGCCTCCCTGTTTCTTCCTCCAAGATTAACAGAACATTTAGCCCCTCACCTTGAGCTTCAAGTGTATCCCCTCTTATGGTTCCATGTGTCAGCATCCCAGAAAATCTGCCAGCAGACCCTGGCCTGACTTGACTGCCTGACAGGCAGGCTTCCACAGAAACAGGCTCCTGACAGAGCAGAAAATGGCTCCTGATAGAGAGATGCCAGCAGGAAAGGGAGTCTGCTCTATTTGCCATTCCCTGTAGGGCTTGTGTCCTCAATGAAGTGTAGGCTTTGGGAGTTCTGTACCCCTCAGCACCCTGTAGAAGCTGAGGATTCTTGGCTCCACAGGTGTGATCACTCTGCAGGTGGAGATGTGCCCAATTGGTTGGGTGTTGTCATTCTCCAAACAGGTAGGGTCCCCACAGAGATCCTCAGATGTCAGCACCCAGCTCTGCACACTGCTTGTCAGAGATGTGGGAGGCCAGGGAGTCTATGATGTCCAACAGCAGCTGCTGGCTCAGCAACCGCAGTGTGGGCAGCTTAGAGACCTGCACAGATGACCAAAACTAAATGAAACCAGACTCCCAGGAGGACCAGGATGGGCAGATGAGTCCTCTTGGGGCCCAGCCTGCTCAGGCTTAGGCTGTCTGAGGACAATGGGCAATGGCCAAGAGGTGCCCAGGCCTGCTGGGGAGAGCTGGGACCTAGAACACTGGGGCCAGAGCCTGACCTTGGTGAATTGGTGTACAATGATGTGCAAGCAGTGACGCTTCATGTCCAGGGCCTGTGTCTTGTCAGCCGCCTCCAGAATCTGCAATGGCAGGACCCATAAGACCCTGCCCCAGCTCACCCACAGAGGAAGGCATGGCCTGAGGGTACTAAGCATTACCTGTAGCACATTCTGCACTGTTACATTCATCTCTAGGTTCTGCTTGCAGTATGCCTGCAGTCGGTTGTTGTAGAAGCCGTAGTAGTAGGGGGCTGCAAACAGGTAGCTGGATAAAAGTTAAGGTGCTGCCAAGTCGAAGGACATGTGTTCACCTGCACCCACCTATCCTGCCACATCCCTTGTCCTTGTGGGAACTACACAAACTCCAGAACCTAGAACTCCAGCTAGGGTCCCAGCCAGCTTGCTCTCTAAACTGTTTCTGAACCATTTCAGGTTCAAAGTCCCCATTCAAGATCTAAAGATCCTAAATTCCCATGTGCACATTCCCAAAATTTTTCCAAGCCCTCTGGTCCCATCAGGTATCCTTGCACGTCAGGTTTAAACACTTATGACAGAAAGCACAAGGAATCACTTTCTCCACTTCCTGTTTGTTGAACAGTAGTAACTAGCCCACTCAACTAAGCTAACCGGAAAGTGCTCCCTGCTGCTGCCCACCTGCTTGGAACCCCTGGAGACCAGTAGACCCAGTACCAGCATTTGGCACTGCTCTAAAATTAGGTACCAAGCTGCCATCAGCCAGACAACAAAGCAACAGGACTCAAACATGTCTACAACTCCCAGTGGTGACCCAGGAGCACCAACATGTAAAAGGATGCAGTGAGTCCTCGGGGGGCATGTTGACCTCGCCATAGTAGATGTAGCGTAGCATGGATTCAAAAGCCTGTCTGCTGGGAACCATCTCCCCAATGGAGATGTTCACCTGCCCATCCTCTGGCATAAACGACCGAAACATGGCCTCAAAGTAGCTGCAAACAGGAAGGTAGATCCCAGCTCTCAGGAGAAGAAAGTCAGCATCAAGGCCCTGCCTTGCCCTGCCCTCACAGGCCTGCAACATACCTAGAGCGGGCAGCAAGGATGACTTTGTGGGCTGGCCGTGGGTGGCCGTCTAGCAGTAGTGTGATGTCACAGAACTCCGAGCCTGCTCCCTCCAGGTAAGCCTTCATGTCCTGGATCAAAGATGTGCCTGGGGAGTGCAGAAGGACCTTGAGAAGACTCGCACCTTGGCCCTGAAGGAAGAGGCTAACTTGGTTTTCTGGCCCAGGGGAAACTGCCTGTCCAGTGTTACTGCCCTGCTCAAAGTTTCCCCAAGCCAGGAGTGCCAGTCTTTCCTTTCTTCAGTCTTTCAGTTCACCTGGAAACAGCAGTTCTTGCTCTGGCCCTCACGGATGCTGCACCAATACCTCCTCTCCTCCCATGTGCCCTGTCTGTCCAGCTCCCAGTCTTGTGCTGCCTGCACAGCCATCTAGCCTGGCTTTTGGACTGTCATGCCAGTGGCAAGAGTCAGTCAGTACAAGCCCCACAGTGGGCAGTGAAAATGTTAGCAATCTCTAGTAGGTACAATGAGCTAGGCCATATACAGCAGCAGCTGCCTCACTCACCTGACCCCAAGACATGAACTCTGACCAGTCAACCAGAGAAGGCACAGGTCACCCCGAAGAGTGCGTTCTGTCGGTACCCAGGCTTGCTGGCACACAGCTTACTATTAAAAGCCCCTGTCCCTCCCAGTCCCTATGCCTGGGAGCACCTGAGTGGGTCACAGAGCCACCCTTACCCCAAGGGCCTGGCAGGTAAGTGGTTCTATCTCTCACCACTTTCCTACAATCAGGACATGAATCTCCTACCAATGTCCACAGGCTGATCTGAGGATGTGCGAGGGGGTGGCTGCTGCTTCCGACGAACAATCTCTACAATCAGTGGGGATGAGAGGCGCTCGAACTCCTTCATCATGATCACCTGATTGAAGTGGGATTCCTTCACTATGAAGTTCAGGCAGTGCTCCTGGGACAGACAAACACAACAGGAAAGTGGCGTCAGGCCTAGGCTGAGCAACAGTTTGTAGTGAGGAGCAAGCGCATGCACACCATCCTACCCAGGAAGGCCTGGGCTGGCTGGCATCCCCAGCGTGTACCTTGAGCTGGCCCAGCTGTAGTCTGGCAGCGCTCTCACACACAACCAGCACATTCTGAAGATCCACAGAGGCTTCAATGTACTGCCGACACAGCTGTTCAAGGCGGCACAGCTGGAAGCTCAGCGCCAACTTGTACACATCCATGATGAGCAGCACATCTTCTACATGGCCTGCACCAGAAAGTCCCTGAGCCTGGGACCCCAGGAAAGAAGGGCCTAGAAGAGCGCCAAGGCTCCATCCATGAACAAGAGGGTCAGAGGTGCAAGATGGCAGCTAGACTGCAGGTCAACTGCTATCATCAAGC